AATTACAGTCCAGAGAGTATGTCCAAACATGGACACCCCCCCCCCCCATCAGAATGGAATAAATAAGCCTAATCATCAGTCTGCTTCCCCATAGCTAACAACTCTTGGAGAAGTACACTGGATCCGTAGGCTGGCTGCCAAGGACTCTCTGTACAGGTAACAAACTAAGACTTATCATAGATAAAAGGCAGAGTTAATAGTATTTTTAAGACAGCAGTGTTAGTAGAACAAGCCTTACGATACTACTGGCTGAGGTCCACTGGCCTGCAGTGTGAAGGAGGTCAGACTAGATAATCATAGTGCTCCCTTCTTGTGTTAAAATCTGTGAATACTACCCACATTAAAACAGGCCACCAATGACCTGGAGAGTTCACCCACAGTGCCTCCATTTGACAAGTAACAAGGACTTTTATACGTACGTTTCTTTTCAGTCAAGTGGCCATTTGCTATATTCTAGGTTAAATGTGTGAGTTACAAAGTTTGTAAATAGCTTAGTTATATGGTGCCATGCAGGGGCGCTGGGACAATTTGTAGTGGGGGGCTGAGAGCCATTGAACCAAACTGTAAACCCTGCATATGATGGAAACCACTTCATGCCACGGGGTGCAGCTGCACCCCTCATTCCAGCACCTCTGGCATGTCTTGATCCTGTTGAACTCAAGGAAAGTTTTGCCATTGATTTCAATGGGGCGAGAATCTGGGCCTTGGCCCATTATGTGTAGTTGTGTCACTAGCAAGCTTCATCCTAGATTTATTGTGATTTGATCTTTTTGTTATATTTTAACTCCCTGAGCCAAATCTTCAAATGGTGTCGATCAGCATTGCTCCATTGACGTCAGTGGAGTTGCACTGATCTACACCAGCTAAGGATATGGCCCCCTGTATTAGATTCATTCATTTGAACTCTATAAAGGGCATGTGACCTCTATCATATGATCATTATATTTTACTCCCAGTAAGTACTGATTTCACTGCAAATTCATGAGAAACTCAGTATGGGTAACTGGCTAATTACAGTTGCTTAGTCCTTGGGTATTTTATACTTATCTATGTTTTCAAAGGGCCTCCATCCCTGTTAACAAGGGGTCTCGCACCCAGCAGTGGAACCATTGATAAAACCTGTGTAACCCTTCTGCCAGGGCCGGGTTCAATATCTAGGGGTTCCTCTTCAAAAATACAACACAGAACCGGCTCGAGCCTCCACCCAGTAACCTGGGAAAATTGCACACCACCCCTGGATGCCTCTGAGCGGCAATCCTTTCCCACTCGCAAGCACAGAGTCTGAGTGTAGAAAAGAAACTTTTAATGAAAGGAGGGAAGTCACCCGACATTAATTAGGGAAAATGCCACAAGCAGGATTCATAATCCTAAAACTGTGAGCAGGACGCCCACCCCAGAGTGCATGGGGTAGAGTCTTCTGCCTCATGTTCTTGAGTTCTACAACCAAAAGTTCCTTTTCTGTGCCTCCCTCTGCTCCATCACCACACCCCACTCACAGAGGTTGTCCTTGGTCAGTGAGGATCCAGGGTTCAGAGGTGCAGCTGTGTGAGTTCATCTCCCACCTGGGGAAGAACGCACCTTGTTTGCTCCGCCATCTGGGCACCTGCTCTGGTTGGCCGCCCTGCCAGCCATGGTTCCTTTCCACTGGCCACCCCGCCAGCTGCTCGTTCCGCTCCCGCCGGTCCACGGCTCGCCACTCCCGCCGGCTGACTGTCAGTTACCTTCTGCTGCCACCTACCTTTCTGCTGGTCAGTCTCTTACTGATTGTCAGCTCTTAGTGATTTTCAGCTTTTAACTGGCTGGGCAGAAACGCTGTCCCACCACAGGTGATGTCAGCTCTCGTTTAAGTACTTAAAATAACAAAGTGCTATCTTTGAACAACAGTGCGGAGAAACAGGTTAAGCCAGACTGGGGACCCTTAGGGAGCATCCACACCTCCTGGCTGGGACATCTGTCCCCTCCCCTTTTACTTTCGCAGGGGTCTGGCATTGGAGCCCCTGGCTTAACGAGGTCCTTTCAGCCAAGGGTGACCCCCTCATTTGGGACAGGTTCAGCACAGTTCTGCTCCCCTTTATTCATACAATAAAGACAACAACACTGATAACAGCATTTCACTACCCCTGCATTCAGTACTAAAGTGATTTGTTACCCAACACCAGCCAAAATTGATCACTTTGAGCAACACCGCTCTCCTGCTGGATATCTAAGCAGAGTAGGTGTATTCTTGTAAATACAGTTTGCTCCTGATGTCTCTCCCGCTCCTAGTTAGCTGTCAGGGGAGAGTTCATTCAGACCCTGCTTACACCTGCTTCTCTTTCTCTTGTTAACTGCAAGTCCCTTACTCCAGTAAAAGGCCCATTCAGCTCAGTGGGAGTTTGCCTGACAAAGCGTTCCAGCATTGGGCCATATGCCTCACAAAGCATTCCATTGGGCCGTACGGAGTACTCTGTTTTCTAAAGCCTGCTAGAAAACCCCTTGAATAGACGATCAGGGTGGATTTGTTTTTTCTTCCAGGTCCTGACTAGAGGAAGATGAGGCTTCTCTTGGCATTGGCTGTGCTGTTTTCCTGCAGTAAGTGCAGTAATTTGGCAAACCCTCTAATGTGCTAATTATCCTGGGCCTGATTCTGATCTCGTTGACATTGGAGTCGATGCTGTATAACTCCAATGAGTCAGTGCAGTTGTCCCGGTATGGAACTAGTGTGAGAGTAGAACCTGCGGGTCAGATTCTGTGGTGCCCTGCGCTGCTGGTGCAGCCAGCTTGGTGAGGATTGCCACACAATTAGAGACTCCTCCGGCGTCATAGAGCTAGTGTTGCAGATCCAGTGGCATATCCCTGCCAGGTGCTCGTATAGGGGGCATAGCCCAAGGGAGGGGGCCATGCTTCCAGCCTCCATTACAGACCCTTGTTAGAACAGCCTGGGGGACCATCCTTGTTTGCAGCCAGCCTAGGACTGGGTGGGGTATGAAGGTGTCTACATCTTCTGTTGCATGCACACCCCCCCCTCCAGCTCCATGCTATGCTCTCCTCCGCTGCTGTTTAGGGTTGGGGTGTGGTGTTTTGGGGATCCCCCACACCAGTAAGAGGTTCTGTCACCACCTGCCTTGTAACTTGGGTGCCTGAATGCTTTGCATTGTCCCACGCCGATTTCTTTGCTTCCCTGCAGAAAAATGACTTTCTGAGGGGGAAGCAAAGGGAAGCCACAAGAGTGGTCATGTGACCCTCCCCAGCAGTGTATTTTGGGTGCCCCTTGCAGCCGGCAGAGAGGTACATCACTGTGGCGTAGGGGGAGGGACTGGGGAAGACCTGGCTGGTGGCTCCTACCTTGCGCCGGGATCAGCTGCTAGACCCGCCTCAACTGGGGAAGATGGTACTTCCTCTTCTCCTGTAAGGCATCCGGGTCATGTCAGACCCACCCCCAGATTTCTCCCCTGACTGTAGGAAGCTCTGCAACACCCCCCCACCCCCGCACTTCCTGCACCCATCACTCCTCAGCTGCAGGGGGAGGGATCACTGTACAGGGAGCTGCTCCCCCATCTGCCCAACCCCCGTGCATCCAAACCCCCTCATACTCAGACCTTCCCACCAAGCCTGACCCCCACCCACACCCAGAACCCCTCGATGACCCCCACTCCCCCTGCACCTGGACCACCCCAACAAGCCACCCGAATCCCCACCCTACCGAGCCCCAATCATC